GGTGGCCATGCGGGCGAATTCTGCTCAAGTGCTCTGCCGAGCAGGTGCGTTTGGCCACTCGGGGCGAGTTCCTCGGGGCTGAGCTTCTAGGCAGTCCCACCTTCGATCGCCTGCGGGAGGAGCTTCGAAATCCTGGAAAAAGGGTCGGGGCCGTGGACGTGGCGTCCGAGGGCCCCCCTCCTCCGGAGGCCGATGACGCTCCCGAGAACGATAGCTCGGCCGATCCCCTCGAGCGGGAATCGGCTCGGCGGCTCGCTCCGAGTCCGAGCGTCGGCTCGCGAGCTCGAGGGCTCTCCGACGACGCGCGGGCCCCGCCGGTCTCCGAGACCTCCGGGCCGGGAGGGTCTTTGCTTCCTGGGGGAGGTTCGGCGTCCTCGGACTCCTCCTTGGCCGGCCCTCGTAGGCCCAAACCCCCCCGGGCCCCAGAGGCGATCTTAGCGGACAAGAGGGCTCGTCTCACCCCAATCGAGGAGCAGGAGGAGACCCCTTCCGTCAAGCAGCGAGTCGCGGCGATTGAGGAATCGTCCCAGCAGGCCCAACCTAGTGCGGATACCGTTTCAAGCCCCGATCCGCCAGCGGCGACCGTCGCCGATGAGCCGTTTGCGTCCCAGGAGAGTGCCTCCCGTGCGACGCCTCTCGCGGCCAGTCCGGGGAGCTCTTCGGAGGACGTCCCTATGGCCCGGGCCCCGTTTTTGCCCTCGAGGCCGATCGGCTCCGGCCGCGATATTTCCGTGCCGCGAGCTCGGCGCCCTGCGGAGAGCTTTACCCCCCCTGGCAGACAGAGGAGTAGGCCCCCGGACCGATCGATGGGAGGGGATCTGGGGGCCTGGCTGGCGGAGTCGGCGGAACCAGCGGAAGCTGGCGAAGAAGATGACCCCTGGCGGCTGCCTGACGACTTCCAGGATGACACGTTAATCCAGGAACTTAAGGACCGGTTTCGAGCGGGGGAAGCTCCCGCACTGTTTAGTTTTCTTACGGGCCTGGCTGAGTCCAGCGAGGCCGAGATGTCCTTCGCTAGTGCACGCCCTAGCCAGCATCCCCCTTCGAAGCCTAGAGGGGCTGAGGTCCAGCTGAAAGATCTGACCCCCGAAGATCGCGCTCGCTTCGTGGTCTCTGACGCTAAGGAGTGGGAGGCGATGCTGGCTACGGGTGCTGTTCGCGTTCTCTCGCCAGGAGAGTCCCTGAACGTGCGTCGGCGCCGCGCCGACCGAATACTGTCTTCTCGAATGGTCCGACGTTTAAAGCCAGTCGAGGGAGTAGGGGCCCTCCCGGAGCCCAAGTCACGATGGTGCGACCACGGACACCAGGATCCCGATTGCGAATCTCTAGAAGTCTACGCCCCTACTCCCCAGTCGGAGAGCATTCTTACTTGCCTGCAGGTTGCCTGTTCTTTTGGATGGTCCTTGGCCATCGCGGACGCGAAGAACGCATTCTGTCAGAGTCAGAAATTAGAGCGGCCTAAGGGGGCGATATACGTCGAACCGTGCTCGGGCCTTCCTATCGGGCCAGATCAGCTGATCGAGCTTATCGCCCCCGTCTACGGGCTGAATGATGCCCCGCTGCTCTGGCATCGGACTCTGGCGGACTGGCTGAAGGCCGAAGCCTTCATCAAGTCCCTGCTCGAGGCGTGCCTGTGGCTCCGCCGTGACGAGATGGGGGCCCTGGTGGGATTAGTCTTGATCGAGGTCGATGATCTTATAATTATGGGGCGCTCCGAGTTTCAGGAGACCTTTAGGGATCGAGCGACGAATCGATTTGAGTTTGGGAAGTGGAAGGTGGGGGAGGCCGGCTTTGCAGGCCGTCATCTGTGCCAGCTTAAGGACAGGATCGTGGTTGACCAAGAAAAGTTCATCAGAGAACAGTTGGCTCCGATGCCCCTGGAGAGATCCCGTCGAGCGGACCTCGACTCTCCCCTCTCTCCGGCTGAGATCCGATCTTACCGAGCCGCTATTGCCCAGGTGCAGTGGGTGGCTCGCGAGTCGAGGCTGGGCGTGGCAGGCGGAGCCTGCATTTTTGCAGGTGCGATGCCGAATTCTACGGTGGGTCATGCAGTGACGCTGGTCAAAGTGTGTAAGTATCTTAAGGCGACCGCCTCGCAGAAGATAACGATTTGGGCCCTGGACCCCCTGTCCCTGACCTTCGTGACTGCGTCGGACGCTTCGGGCCCCGGGTCGGCGAGTCGCGGGGGCCCCCAAGGGGCCTGGATCGCCATGGCCGCGGATGCCGCTATCCGCGCCAACCAGAGCGGGCCCGAGTTTCCGTTTTGTCCTGGCGTTCCCAGCGTTTGAAACGCGTTATCAGCTCCACGGTGGCCGCCGAGACCCTTTCCCTGAGCGGGGCCACTGCGGAGGCGCAGTGGCTTCAGATCCTTTGGAGGGACACCGTTTTCGGCGACGTCAATCGACCGTCCTGGAACACGAGTGCCTTCCCGTTTTCGGTGGTCATGTCCGCAAAATGTAGTTTGCATGAGCAGGCGGCGGCTCCGTCAATTGTGGACGCTAAGTCGGTCTTCGATACCCTCTCGAAGAATGCCGCTGGGTCCCGATCGGATCGTCGGAATGCTATTGAGCGGGCCGTGGTTCGAGACTCCCTTTCTGCCGCGGGCTCGCAGGTTCGTTGGATGCCCCATGGCCGCATGCCGGCCGACCCCCTCGCGCATGCCGACCCTGCAAAATCGAACCTTGCCCTTCGCGACTTGCTCTGTCGGGGCACCTCGTGCCTGATAGATGAAGGAGGGCACCTAGACGAACGTTCACTTAATGTATCCCTGAAGTCCCGTTCTCGAGGAGCCAGTAGGAGAGCTTTACTGGAGGAGGCCCAAATGCGGGACGAGGAGGAGATGAGAAGCACGGGAAGCCCCGAGGACACCAAGAAAGACGAGGAGGCGAGGCATTGGAACTCGGAGGAAGCACTCGGTGGAGGAGGACCCGGAGGAGAAGAGGGGGAGGTGCCCAAGGTCTCAGGGACGACTGGTCGCACGGAGGCGACTGGAGCTGGCGTCATGCTCGGGAAGCTGCCCGAGGCTGGGCCCCATCCTGTGCACGTGGCTATCCGGCAGTCGAGCCCGGTAAAGTTGGGTCCGCTGTCCTCCTTCGTCTCCCTGAGGGGGTATATCTCTTCCCCGTCTCCCCCCCTTCGTGCCCTCCTGCGTTGTATAGCCACTTTGGCTTAGGATGTGACTCCGAGGAGTCGCTGAGATGATGAGCGGAGCCTTTCGATAAACAAGTTTATCTCTACACTCCCCCTTTGTCTTTCCATTGGCCCGTCGACCTTGTGACAGGGGGTCGCCGCCACGTGCCATGCAGTGCCCGACCTGGAGCGGCTGAAACGCTCCAGACGATTGAAGTCCAACGCCTTCCCGGTCCACCTCTGGGAAGCGCGCGAGCCCCGGAAGGGGCCGGCGGAAGAGATGTCAGCCCAGAACTACCGGCGCGCTGGGAAGCACGAGCCGGCTGAAGCCGAGTGGCGGGAAAGAGGAAGCGCGGCGGGGAAACCGTTTCTCGCTTGACCTTCCAGAGGAACGCCTTCCCCCGCAGCGCAGGGGCATTTGTTATGGTGAACGATGCCCGGACCACCCACCCGTGGGTATCCTGGCTCACCAGCAGCGGGCCCCTCGCCGAGGAATCTTCGGGGGTGTCAGAGGCAGCGCGCCACTCTGAGGAGAAGCCGCGAGGCTGGCGGGAGCCTGGCGGCGACGCCGCGTCTTTTTTTGGGGGGAGCTCCGCGCTCTGATCCTGTGCATTCGCACCGCGCCTGGGCGCGGGCACGTCGTTGCGCGCGGTCGCATATTTCGAAGGTTTCGCGAGGCTTGCGCTCGTGGGCGGGTGCGCTGGGCAGGCGCGGGGCCTCCCAGGGCGCTGGATCTGCGTTGGCTAGAGGTGTGCTTCTTCAGCGCTGAGTGGCCACCTCTCTTTGCTGTCGCGCTGCGCTTGGAGGGTGCGGCTGCCGAACTCGTAGCGCCACAGGGCTTAGTGGGAAGGTGGGGTCGGGCCCCCTTGGCGCTTAGCGTTGTGGGCAGCGGACCGCAAAACGGCTGAATTCACGCAGAGCGCCAGAGGGATAATGACCTTCTCCGCACCCCTCACCTAGCATCGGGGGTGGTTTCAGCCGGAGAATCTGTATTGGTGAGGGCCTCGCCTTTAATGTCTGGAGTCTCCTTTGTGCGCGCTGCTGTCCTCTCCTCTCTCTCTCTCTATCTCTTTCTATCGCTCCACCCGTTTAGGGCTCGCGCTGGCTGCGCTCCCCCCCCTCCCAAGTTTACCCCGCCCTTGAGTGGGCGGGCGGCGGACCGCCAAGCGGCTGAACCCACGCAGAGCGCCATGGGGAACGTGATCCCCCCACCCACCCCAAGCCCCCAGCATAGGGTGCGGCTTCAGCCGGAGAATCCGGTAGAACTTCCCCCCAGAGGACTCAGGGAAATCACAGATGCTGCCCTCTCTGGGCCTTTTGGGGGGCCTCTTAGAGCCTTTTTGTGGCATCGTGGGGCCCGCTTGGGCCGTCTTCGGGGCAGCGTGAGCAGTCTTGGGGCCATTCGGGGGCCCCGGGGCGTGCTTCGACTTTTTCGGGGGCTTATCAGGATTTTCTGGGGGGTTCTGGGAGTCGTGTCGGGCTGAGTCACCCTCCCAGAGACCCACGCGAGAAATTCCACGAACGCCTCATAATTTCAGGAGTTTCGTGGCTCGAGCCCTCACGAACTTGTGAAGTCTCCATCCACCTCTCAGATCTGCATGAACCTTGGCGTTCAAGGGACCGTCGCGGACTTCCGGCCCCCCCCCTGGGCCGAACTGCATCCACATCCGCCGCCCTGGGGTCTCAGGACATCGGCTCCGTTGGCGGGGGGTATGGATAATTCGCCGTCTCACACACACACACAGTGTCCCCAACTTCTCGCTCCAGGGGGGCGTGTGGGCCTCGTGAAGGGTGCTCCGAAGGCCGTGCGGGCCTCCCTTCAACTCCTTGGGGGCACCTTGGGCCAGGAGCACTTTTGGCAGCACCCGGAGGTGGTGGCCTCCACGCTCGCTGGGACGACATCTTACACAGACTCGGGCCTGCTTGCGTCTTCCGTTTTCAAATACGAAGTCGCGGCGGTCGGCCCTCAGGGCATGCCCAGCGAGCGCTCCAAGCCAGTCGAGGCCAAGACGAAGCCGGCAGGCAAACCGGGGGCCCCGCTCGAACTCCGCTGCACCGTGGCGACCACGAAGAAGATTGAGCTGGAGTTCGTGCAGCCTGAGGACACTGGCGGAGCGCCAGTGACTGCTTTCGTGGTTTCCCGCAATGGGCAGGCCCTGGCCACAGTCCTTGCTGGCGCCGCCAGCGACAAGGTGGCGTGGTCCGATACGAGCGTCAGCGCCGGTGCCTCCTACACTTACTCTGTCACGGCCTGCCACTTGCCTGCGGAGAACCAGATGCGCGACGAGGTTCTGAAGTCTCGGAAGGCGGCGGGTCAGGACAGCGGCGTGCTGCTGAGCATCCCGAAAGAGCTCAACGAGGGCGAACCTGCGAAGCTGGAGCGGGTGGAGGCGGTGGAGGAACTGGAGCTGGCGCCGTGCTCCAAGGAGCTGCAGCAGCAGCTGGGCGTCAAGGGCTTCACCGTCTTCTACAGGTCGCACTGGAGCAAAACCTTCATGCATTGCAAGTCCCTCAGGCCGGGCTCCGCCTGGACGGAGCTGCCGGGCCTGCCCATGACGGAGAGCCCCGCCGCCGCGTTCCCTGCCGCGGAGGGTTGGGTCGTGCTGTACTTCCCCTACGCCGCCGCTGGCCTGGACTTCGTGTTCAACGACGGCGGGAACCAGTGGGAGAAGGCGCCGGGCGGTGCCAATTTCTGCGCGGCCATGAGCGGCGCGGTGCGGGTCATGAACGGCCAGGCGGAGCGCGTGGTTTCACCGCCGCAGGCGCCCACCAAGCTGGCGGCGAAGGTCCTGGACGGCTCCCGCATCGAGCTCTCGTGGACGCCGCCTCCCGTGGGCAAGGACGAGGGGCCGGTGGTGGGCTACAGGGTCTACCGCGGAGCGAAGCTACTCCAGAGCATCGACGCGTCCGCGTGCACTTTCGTCGACGTCAACCTGTTCGCCTCCACGGACTACGAGTACACCGTGAGCGCCGTCAACCATCAGCAGGCCAGCGGCGCGCAGTCCCAGCCCGTTGCCGCGCGGACTGGGAGACCAGGCCCCCCGTCGGCACCGAGGGCCCTTCGCGGCTCTACATTCAAGGTGGACGGCGCGATGCGCGTGAAGTTGGAGTGGGAGCCGCCGACGGATTGCGGTGGGGCGCCCATCGCGCAGTACGAGATTCTGCGCAACGGCACCCTCTGGGGCTCCTTCCAGGTGCACACCGACCAGCTGGAAGAGGAGACCAACAAGGCGCAGCCGGTCGAGGCCGTGAAGCCCCCGCAGCAGCGCTGGTTGCGCTCCACGGCGTCCTACTCGACGCTGTCGTGGTTCAAGGACGCCCTCGAGTGGGTGGACGAGGACGTGGAGGCTGGCGAGACCTACGCATACCAGGTGGTCGCCGTCCAGCTGGGCAAAGGCCGGGCCAACGAGCTGAAGACCATGCGGCGGTGCAGCTCGCGGCTTCTGGACGAGGTTCAGGACGGCGTCAAAGGTCCTGCGAGCGAGCAGGCGCAGGTGAAGGCAGTGGCCTTCGTCGACATCCCCAGGCTGGGAGAAGCCAAGACCAAGATCCTGTTCCAGGCCTTCGACTGGAACTCCCACCACACCCCGAACTGGTACCTCACAGTGCAAGGCATGCTACCGGAGCTCCGCAGCGCGGGCGTCAACATGATCTGGCTCCCCCCGCCCTCCGACTCCGTGGACCACCACGGCTACCTCCCGCGCATGTGGTACAAGCTCGACTCCCACTACGGCTCCGCCTCCATGCTGCAGGACCTCGTGATGGCCATGAACGAGCAGGACATGGCGCCCGTACTCGACCTCGTTGTCAACCACCGCTGCGCCGCGGCGCAGGACTTCGGAGAATAGTACACTGCACGAGCAGACTTTAGGCCCGCGCGGACTCCTCGGACCTGCGCTGCCCCCGCCCCCCCCCCCCTGGCGCGCTCCGTGCCGGCCCAAGAGATCTGCGCGGACCTCCGACACCTCTTCTGCACGTGGCCGCGGGCCAGAAATGCTGGCCGATTGACCTGGCGTCGCTCGGACGTGTGCATTCTTTCGGCGAGGATGGATCATCGAGGAGCATCCTGGACCGTCTTGCGAAGAACAAGCGCACGAAGCCGAAAACTGCAAGGGGAATGGACGTCCGAGCGATGGCGCGTTGAGATCGCAGAGGGGATGCCGTGGTCGGCGTTTTGGGGGAACGCGCCGATTTCGACCAGAACTGAGGCCCCAGGGGGGCCCACACCCTCGCGCGCCCCGCTCTCGCTTCTCACCACCATAAGTTGGAGGGGGGAAGGAGGAGGGCGAGGAGGAGGAGGAGGACGAAGAGGAGGAGGAGGAGGAGGAGGAGGAGGAGGAGGAGGACCCTCCCCCTCCAACTTATGGTGGTGGTGGAAAACCCGCCGACGTCAAAAGTTTTGGCCCGCGCGCACGTGGGCTCTTCCGGGGCTCGCTCTGAACGGTGGTTCAGTGATCTCGTGGACCGTTGTCGTTCTGATCTCGTTTTGCAGCAGAGGCGGAAGAGAGACAGAGCGAGGGAGGGGAAACGAAAACAGAACGAAAACGGAAGACACCGCTTAGGTCGAGCCCTGTGCTCCTCTTCCCTCGAGGACTCGCAGGGCCGCTGGCTCGTCTTCAAGGAGCCCGACTGGGGCGGCTGGGCCATCTGCCGGAACAGCCCCGCGGTGCCTGGCGGCAGCGGCAGCGACGGCACCGGCGTCGAGATGGCCCAGTTTGCCCCGGCCGTGGATCACACAAACCCGCAGGTCTCGACGACTACGACGATCGGGTCGGGCGAAAGGGGGGGATTGGGAAAGGGGGGGTTACGAAATTTGCTGCATGCAGCTGGTTTCGGCCTCACCGAGGGGCCCATTCCTCGATACATGGGCGCCTCCGGCGCCGGGAGGCGCCGGGAAAATCAGCTACGTGAGCTGATTCTCAAACCCCCCCTTTGCTATCCCCCCCTTTCGCCCGACCCGAGACGACGACGACAGCCGAGGACGAGGAAACTGCACGAGGCGTTCCAGAGGAGGGCCTCGCCCTCGGCACCCCCTCTCGGGGGAGCGTAAGACCCGGGTTTGCCGGGACTCGGGTTCGCCATCGTTTTTTGACGACCGCGACTCGGATTTTGACGAGGGGGGGGTTCGTGGGATGTCTGCAGCGGGAGGCCTCGTCAAAATGCAGGCTCGGCCTCGTCATTTTTTTGACGACCTCGTCGGGGATTTCCGAGTCCCCCGTACCCGGGTCTTACGTTTCCCCGACTGAGGAGGGCCTCGCCCTCGGCACCCCCTCGCCCGAGGCGGAGGCCGGCGGGAGGTTCTGGCGGAAGGCGGCGGAAGTGAGACGGCGACGGGTCCGCTGGCGGAGGCCGGCCGAAGGTCGACGGAAAGCGGCGAGAGCTGTCATTCTGTGTGCATGCATGTCACCACCCACCAAACCACCCCAACCCAACCCGAAGGTCCAAATTTAGCCTCGATTTCCAGTGGGGGGGGTCGGGGAACGTTGAAAAAACACGTGGTATCCGTACCCCCCCCAACCCGAAATTCGGGTCAAATTCGGGTCTTCGGGTTGGGTTGGGGTGGTCTGGTAGGTAGTCAGCATGGCTTTTGGAGCCAGCCACGTAAATATATGCTGTTTGAGATTCGCATGAATTTCTTGGACCGGCGCCTCCAGCGCCGGTCCACGAATTCCGCAAGGAGCTCCAACAGTTTCTGTGAATGCTGGCTTGTCTTCTTCAAAGGTGAAGGCGGACGTCAAGGAGTTTATCCGCCACATGATGGAGGACATCGGCTTCCGCGCGATCCGCTTTGACATGGTGAAGGGTTACGGGCCGCGGTTCCAGGCGGAGTACGTGCGCGCCGCGGGGAACCCTTTCTCCGTGGCGGAGAACTGGAACGGCGACGTCAACGGCCTCGCCGACTACGTGCGCGAGTGCCAGGGCGTCATGGCTGCCTTCGACTTCCCTTTCTACTACAACCTGAAGCGTTCCATCCAGTCCAACAACTTCAGCGAGCTCAGGGCCATGGACGGGAGGTTGTCTGGGCTGGTCGGTCGCGATCCGGTGGGAGTCAGTCTCCTCCTTCCTCTTTTCTTTGTCCTCCTCCTCCTCCTCCTCCATCCGATCTTCCTGTTAAACAACACCTCCTTGTCGCACACCACACGTGTCGCTAGGGCGGGCCAGGCCCTTCACCTGAGACTTCCTCACTTCATGACCTGAAACTGGAAATTTGCAACAATTTCACGGATGGAGGGCGGGTGGTTTTCAAAATGCGTCGGCCCGCGCTAGCGTCGCGCACAGTCGCCTGAAATGTTTGCAATTGCAGCAGTTTCAAGGATGGACGGTTTGTCATTTTTATTATGTAGCTCTCGCTTCAGCTCCGCACGCAATCGTCTGAAAAGCTTGCAAGAGCTTCAAGGATGGAGGGCGGGTCGTTTTCTATATGCAGTTTTCGCTTCAAGACCGCGCGCATTCGTCTTTAAAGCTTTCAGCGGTGTCACGGATGGACGGCGGGCCGTTTTCAAACTAATGTTTTCGATGCGAAGCGCACACATCCGTCTGAAAAGCTTTCACGGATGGACGGCGGCACACATTCGTCTGAAAAGCTTGCAAGGCGCATGAATGGCGGGTCGTTTCCGAAATGTGGCCTTCGTGTGTACAACAGTTTGAAGGATGCGCCCGGGCATTGTTATCTGGCATGATTTTGGTTTGTCAGGGCGCAACAGTCATTTTGATTCGCGGTGTTGAATTTCCAGGAATGGTGTTCTGACGCGGTCGGATATTGCTGGGACGCAACAGTCACGTGGATCCGCGACGTTGAAGTCCTAGAAATAGCGCGCTGTCGCGATTTAGGATTCTCAAAAGGTTGTCCTGCAATGGGGCACTTTCCGCAATGGAAATAAATTCGTGTAGGGACCTCACCGCGAGGTTGGAAGCAGTATGTCAATCTCGGAGGCTGATCAGACGTATTGGCGTGGTAGTTGTTCAACCTCCTCCTCCGCCGTTTGTGTGCCGCCGCCGCCTTTCTACTGACACGCCATATTGCGTACCCGCAGCTATACCAAGGAGGATTACACTATCTCCTCGGGACAGCTCCGCGCGTGGAAACAGGACCGCCGACCGTGTCGGCGTCGTGTGGTTGTCTCTCCTTCCCGTGCAAATTTCTGTTGCAGTCTAGTTTAACGGACATTACCGCCATGTCGATACGAGAGGTCCACTGCAGTGATGAGACCGGTATTGCACCATCTTTACACACCACATTTGCTGGGGATCACGTTCCCCTGGCCAATAACGTGTTACCAACCGAAATAACAATGGTTGCATACGATGCACATGTGTACATAAGGGAAACTTTTGGCGTAATTGTACAACATGTAATCGCCGCAGGTTTTTTGAAAGTAGTATCGTATCAGACTGGGTGGGCCAGCCATCCCCAAACGTTTTGCCAACGCCACTCATTGATGAACCGTTCGCGCAAGCTCGGCGAGACGCTTCATCATTGTTTCACCGAACAGCTCGAGGCGATAACATCGATCGCGGCCTGTCCACCATCATGGGTTTCGGCGATATGAATTCAGAGTTCTCGTCGATCAGGAGAGGAGGACGCGCCGCAGTGGTTATATTGAAGCACTTAAGGGATGCGACGCACTCAGGTGGCCCTCGCGATCGCCGCGGCAACAGCCGCATCGACCGCCGGGGCCGCAGAAACAGCCGCCTCATCGGCCGCCGCGCCCGCGACTGCTACTTCGCGCGGCAGCGCTCAGGGCCGAAGCGACCTGAAGTGCCGGGCGACATCAGCATGGAACAAGATTCGCCAATGCTGGTTTGCAGTTCAACTGGAAGTTTAGTAGAAGCTAGTACGTGTCCCGTGATGCAAGAAGTCGATGGGGGCACCTGGTGAATCCACGTCGCCACCTTCGAGTGCTGAGCGCCGAGATTCCGTGGGAGGTCAGGTGGCAGTCAGGGTTCTCGCAGTTCGTCCTCGGGTCGCGTTTCGATCGGGGTAGGTCGTTGGGCACGGGGATCGCGACGCCGGGCCGCGGCTGCAGACCGATGCCCACGAAAAGTTTGCAAAATATGTCTGCCGTGCATTCACTTTGTGCGTGGGTTTCGTTCAAGCGCATGCCCGCGTTGCAACGTCTATTCGCTTCGCTCAGATTGCGTTGAAATGGCGGGGCATGTTTTTTGCAGCGCCTGGCCATCCATGCTCGACAACAACAAGAAGCTGGGGCAGCAGCAGAAACGCCGCTGTGGAAGATGATCATCGCGGTCAGATGATTGCTCATTAGTCGGCAAAAAGGACGACTTACTTTGACAGGTGCAGAATGATGAGCAACATTTAATTTCTTGACGCTTCGCGCACCCCCACCAGTCCGACTCGGTTTGGGTAGCGCTGAGACACTTTGGATGTTCACGCGCCACGTGGTCCACCGTGTATCGTGCACTACGGCGCCCTTCCACTCGATGGATCTGGGCTGGCGCATCTCAGTTGTGGAAGATTCTCCTGCCATCATGCTCCACACCCTGGATGCGCGTTCTGGCGTCGCGACTTTGATTCGCCGTCAGGATTTTCCGCTGGACTTATGTCCACAGTCAGTCTGTGTTACCCGTCAGACTCCCTGGATCGGTGGCCTCGGGAACGTCCCTTTCTGTTCGCATCTGAACTGCTGGGAACGCCTCACGCGCCATTTTGGCTGCGCTTGGTCTCCTCGGTGCCTGTCCTCAGGCTTCCTGGATGCACCGTTGCATGCCCGTGCAGGGGCTGTCTCTGACTCCCTGGATTGCACGTCGGCTCTGCCGCCCTGGGCGCTGCCCCCCCCCCCGCCGCCTGATCCGCGGCCCCCGCGCGCGCTCGGCAATTTGGTCGCGGCCGTGGCCCGCCCGCGACCTCCCGCCGCTGGCGCCTCCGCCTGCGGCTGTAAAAAAATAAGAAGTATCCCCACCAGCCCATCCTACACCAGGCACTCGAACGAAGAGCGCCGATGATCGGCAGCTGTTCTCCTCCCCCTCTTCCTGCTTCTCCTCCGCCCTCTCCTCCTCCCCCTCCCCCCTTCCTCCCTTCCTCCTCCTCCTCCTCCGCCTCTTCCTCTTCCCCGGTGGCGTCCTGGAGGTATCTTCGAACGTTTTGGTGGGCTCTTGGGCCTCGCGGGCGGGCGGGCGGCGCTCCGCTCGCCCGCGCGCAGGGCGCGAGAGGAGAGTCCGAGACGTCTCTTGAGGCCTTCTTGGAGGACATCGATCGCAGCAGGGGGAAGCATTTTTTAGCGTCGCCCCCCTGGGGGGCGCGATCCTCGTGGGGGGTGCCGAATTTTAGCCCTCCCAGGGGTCGTTCTTGGACGCTCTAACTACCCGCGGCCCCCCCGTGTCCAGGCCAGCGGGGAGGGGGTGGGGGGGGGGGGGGCCCCCCCCCCCCCCCCCGAAGGGGAAGAAGGAGGGGTGGAAGGGGAAACGCTTTAAACCACCAACGCCCAGAGGGCTTTGCGAGATACTAGTCGGCAAAAAGGGCGACTTACTTTGACAGGTGCAGAATGATGGGGGTCATTTAAATTATTACAGTTTGCACATCAAGTACAGATCAGCCATCAGGCGATGTCGGAGGCAGTTCATTTGTCTCTGATGGAAGTTGAACGCAACAAGAAAGAAACATTCGAATCGGCCACATTAATGATAGTGGGAGAGTTACAGATTATTGCTGAGGAAATTGCCGAGAAGGAAATGCAGATGCGACGCCGGCTGCAGGCCGCCGAAGGAGCGGCAAATAACTACGAGCAACAGGCAGAAGTAGTCCTCCGAGAGAGGGCTGCTCAGGCTGGCGCAGTGGCGCAGCAAGTCCACGGGGGCGCGTTTGCCGCGGCGCAGCAGGCGAGTCGGGGGCGCGCTGCCGCCAAACGCGCAAGGGGAATAAAGAGCGCTGGGGACGCTGAGCGAGGATATTGCTAGACAGAAATATGCGCGCGTAGAAATGTAGGCATCGCACGAGATTCGGTTTCAGAACAAGTTGGCTGAGCGAGAGGACCTTTCGGAGTTGCAGGTTCAACCCGTGGTGCCCGGTGATGTTGTCTCGAACGCGTCGGCTAGCTCTTCCTCGTTGCACCTTCATCCTGTGGCGCTGGGGAAGCATGTGCCGACGTTGCGGGCTCAGCCCAAGACTCCAGGACAGTCGGTTCGTCAAACTCTGGGGTTTGGCCCCCCGAGCAAGCCCAGGAGCATGCGTCCGCCGTTGCCGAGCGATGCAGTCACTGCGCCAGCCTTAGCGGAGGTCATGCAGACAGAGCTACATTCCTTTGTGTCGAGTGAACGCGAATGATTGCAGCTTCGGGAAGTTCCGAGATTTGCCACTTTTGCGCGCTGCCGAAATATGAGAATTGCGCGAAATGTCCCATGTCTTGTCGCGAGGATCCGATTGATCCGACGACCGAGCGGCGCGGGCAACGCGCCCGGGGCGAGCTGGCAGGGCCCGCCGAGAGAAGACTTGAGGACGAGCGCGGACAATCCCAGCAATCGGAAGAACATGTGAGGATTGTAGCCCTCATGAAGCGACAGGCATATCTGCTGGGGACAATTTGAACGGCAAGAGATGAACTTGAAGGGGCCGAACAGTCCGCGAAGAGGGGGGGGGCTACCTGATGACCAAAGAACATCGATTGGGTATCTCCCGAAGCATTGGAGCACTTCTTCGAAGGGATGCCGAGTTGTCTAGAACTTGTGGGCCCGCCGCAGGACCCCCCTGGGCGGCCACCCGATGTCGCGGATGAGATAGTGAACTGCCCCCCGAACGCCCCTGTCTCACGCGGGGGTGGGAACGGAGGAGATGGCGATTCACCTGGGGGCGGGCGCGGGGGGGGGGGCGCGGGGGCAGCGGCGATCAAAGACGGCCCCCTCGGCCCGTGACCCTGTCGATTAGTGGGGGCAGTCAGGGGGGGCCGCGGAGATCAAGGTGTCGCCCATGCCTCAGCCAGCGGGGCTTCGCGACTGGAAGCTGCGCGCAGAGCGGATGAT